GTTTTTTTTTTCATTAATATTATTTTAACAAACTAATTTGTCAGGGTCATTGTAAGTCTTGTTTTAATACAGATTTTTTTTCTTCATTAATATTCTTTTAACAAACTGATTTGTCAGTGATGTTATAGTTATAGCAAATCTTTAAAATAACGCCTGCGACATAAAATGATCTAGAAGTTATTGTCAGTCAGAAGTATGATAAGTAAGCCGAGTTATCGTAGACATAATATAAACCTTCAAAAGATATTTTATAATCATATCCATTCATTATTTGTGTAAAATTTCACGAAAAGAATATACATATATATCCTTTCCCCATATTATTTATAATATATTATGTCTATTAACTGAGAAAGTTTAAATGGTTCTATGAAATATACTCTTTTACAATAATTAAAGTTGTGGTACTGTTTTTAGTTAACTGCGTAATAACAAATTATCTGAACTACAAAAATAGAGCGGTTGCTAGGGGCGCCCGGCATCACGAAACGATTCCAACAAATTGCCTGGCAAATAAACCTACATAATATACCATACTGTATTACGTTTGTCGATACCAATTAATATTATATGGCTTGGGTGCGGGGAATCTACGAAATAGTGTTGTTATAAGGACAAGTACCGCTAAGACAAACAAAAAGTTAAATAAAAATTCATTTGAAGTTTACAACACTTTTAGGCGCCATATTGAGAGTTAATATGACCAAAATGAAAACAAACTGAATCATACGTTTTCTATTTTAGTCAATGAAACTAATTTAGTCAATGTAAATCACGGAAAAGTTCAGCCACCTCACTCTGGCTTTGACTAGAGACTCGTGGAGGTCTTTCGTAGACTCTTTTTAAAAAAGCATTCGACTTAATAAAAAAAATATTTAAAAGAAAAGAATTCGGTCTCGGGATGTGCAATTTGGTGAGTGCGTGGTATTTGGTAACAATATATTTTTAACCATACATGCGATGCTCTAAGAAACTTCGGACACTACCACTAGCCCGCCACCTTTTGAACATCGATGAAATTATGAAAAATGAAAATCTTACGTTATGGACGTTTTTTCCCGGTTAGGGTACTACTCCGCATCGTCCCATAAGGAACTTCGTTCCAAAAACTAACTACTGCAATATGTTAGAAATGAATCGGCTAAACCATGTTAGAACGCACACCATATGGACAGATTAAAATTAATTAATTAATTAATTAAATACCACTCCCAAAATCATAGTGGTATTTGACAAACAGTTGAAAAGCTTTACAACTAAGGGCGTATCGCGAGACTTATCTATGGCACTGGGATGAATCGTCCGATATTTTCCGATATTTTTTGTGTATTTTGCATAAGTGTGCACCAAACGCTAATTTCTGACATGAAGCATTCATTTTGGTCTGGAGGGCGGAACAGCCATTATATAATCAAATTTCGACCTCAAATTGCGGGGCAGCCGGCAACCACCTGTTTAGTATACAATAAACTTCAAGACTCTATACAAAAATAATTTCTTTTAAACGCTTTTATCTGCTAAGCCCGCTTTAAGGCCCTAATAATAAAATCTTGCATAATATTCCTCAACGATTTATAGCATCTTAAAAGATTCATAACACTTGGGATATTACGCAGCGGCTTATAAATCAGTTAAATGACACGATTCCTAGAAGATATGGGTTTAGCTCAGATATTTCATGAACTAGTTCACGGCTGTAAAACAATGTGTATCACTTGACATAGTGTCTGTGTGCCAAGTTGACGAAAACAGCGGTGGTCTTATCTGAATCACCGTTTTTTTATGACTTATTTTTCTTGTTATTCAAAGGGAAGTCGCTCGATTAAGCAACGGAATGAATCTAATGGTTTTGATGTAAATTTTATTATGTAAAATGTGATATCACGCCAAAACATCTACTATTAATAGTAAACTATATATACAATGTTTCCCTCAAGCATAGACACAGTCCACTGAGTATCTTGCCGGATGTTCATAGTGGGTCCGATCCAGTGGTTTCCGTGAAGCACTACTCTTGCTGGGGCTAGTGTTAGCAAATTCTCTCAGGTTGAACCCGTGAGCTCACCTACCGGTCCAGACGTAACTGGTATAGCATCTTAGGCTACCAGCGAATAGGTATGGAAACAAAACAACGACAACTCTGGTTAAACTACCACAACTTTGTCTCTAAGTTCGTATTCATCAATATCGGTCCTCACTCGGAATGGTAGGATATTCGTTTGTTTATATGCAATAAAATATTTCCTTCACGTCTCAAATTTACATACGGATCTTGGGCCAGGGTATAGTCGGCTCGTGTAAACAAAATATCGAACAAGATCAACATTAACCAAAGATTTCGATTGCTAAAAAACATTATCCCGCAGATTGTTATGCTCGCAAACTAAAGTAGCGCTATCCAATCTATTTTGGGGCTCGTAAACATTACCGCTTTGTTTGAAACGCGAAATAAAACAACGGAAAAAAAACACGTTCTCACAATTACCGTTCTAGAGCTATGAGAATGTATAGTGAATTTTTGTTATCTGCAACGCGAGATGAACATTGTTTTTGCCTCTAATAATTTCGGTATCGGCTTACATTTCGAGTGGTGCTCTCACGGATCCAATGTTTGGCAAACATCCAATATTTTTATAGGTTGAACTTTAAATTGCGGATTCCGTACTTAGTGGTAACTTAGTATGGAAAGGCTATTGCCTACATTTATAAATTACGTTCAAGAATGAGATCGAGATTAGAGACAGAAAACATTCAGTCTTCATTTCGTACGTATATAGATCAAATCTTTCAGATTAATCACGCGATATTATTTAAAATTATAAAATTAATATTTAAAATTCCCGTGAAATATCTGAATAGGAAGAAAAATGGGATGGAAATAATAAATGGGAACAATGTCTCAATGTCTCTAATACGGGCAGTCCGAAAATAATTTACTATTATAGCAAGTGCCTTGGCCTCTTGAGTGTAACTAAATTCTTATCATATATCTTGAATCCGCTAATTTAAAGTTATTAGAATATGGATACCGCATGCTCCCTGTATATTTCTGATATCGCATGAAGTACACGCGAATGTATTCAGTCAATATATCAGTCGTCTGAGATCATACGAACTGTTAAGTCTTTGAAAACCGATGAAGCACAATAATATCAATAGCCACTTATTTCTGAGGTCTGTCAACAACTCTTGTTCTATATTAGGTCATATAGAACGAGGTCAAGGTCAAACAAATTTTATCTTCTAATCCCGTCTCTCAGGCGCCACAAACGGTATTAGGGAAGCGTAGTATTATTGGAACGAAGTTCCTTATGGGCCGATGTGAGGAGGTACACAACCGGGAAAAAACGTCCGTAACGTAAGATTTTTATTTATGTATAGTCTTAGTATGATAGCTATACAGTGTCTAATGTATAGTCTACGTGATGATGGTTATTATTATTATTCATATAAATAGCTGTTTCTTTCTATATTATTATATATTTTTATTGTGAATAAAATAAAGATGATAACTTTGTAAAGTAGATTAGTTTTTTATTTATTTTTATCAATAAAAAAAATCATAATAATAAATGTATACCCGAATAAGTATTTTCTTTATACCTCGAATAGAACCTAAAATTACTATTTTTATAATAAGGAACTTCGTTCCTATCCGGTGTCCCACGAGACACCACACATCTTTTTTTTTAACGTAATTTAATTATTCATTAGTCGCTTCCGTATTATCAGCGAGAGAATCCTTCCATTAGGCTGCGCAAGTCCACACAAAGTTCAAGGTTCATTCTTGTTCTATATTAACCTTAGTGCAGAGAGATCATTCAGGTCACGTTTTCACGTCTGACATACAGGAAACGTGTGTGCGACATCCGCGTGTTAGCAGGGACTTAACACTACCTAGTTTTCTGTTCTATAAAACTGGTTTGTCTATCTTTTTATTGTGGTATTATGAACTTGTCGGACTTGGTACTGCTCTGCCTGTATCTACTGTGGAGCAGTTATGCGTAATGCTACTTTCAAGTCCTGTTGATCGCTTCAATTAATAATAATAATAATAAGCCCATTTTATTTCCAAAAACAAAGAAAAAAAAAAAAGAAAACATCTAATCGAATAAAAATTACAAAATTAAATTTAAACTTGTGTTATTGGAACCCCATTCAGGTATAGGCCTCCTCCAGCTTACTTCGCTTCAATTAAATACAAAAAATCGATTAGGAATCATGACAAAATTCTTTCTTTAAATTTCACAGCAAAAAACAATAGTATATTATTATGATTATTCAAAGTGGTCGCTGTTTATGTCGCAAATAACGGGTATGGATATACATAGCTCATAGAATTAGCACATAAATTGCACGATCAAGGTCTACCGAATATGCCACAACGCAACACAAATGTAAAATGGCCTCCAGATAGTACGGTTTCGTATTTGAGCTGGGATCTCGTTACTGGTTGTGCCTTACGATTGGAATCAATAAGAACAGCCTAATGCTATTAACATCACAGTTTATTGGTTCTAAGAATGAATATTCCACGGGTTTTGTATTCGACTTATTTTTAGATTCGATTTTTGTATTATTAATTTATTTAAGATCGCGTCTTCTAAACACAAACCTTCGTAGAAGCAGTTTTGTTATTAACTCTTTACAGCCAGTAGCTGGACTAATCATAGAGTCAGAATAAGATGGGACATTTATTTGACTTGCAATGGCTTCTGTCTTCTTCTTTTTATTTTTTTCTTATTACCGTCTGCCGAGGGGTAGGGCTCGAATCAAATCCTTCTATTTACATAATTAGGCTTCTGTCGGCTAACACAATAAACCTGATCGCGCTACTTCTAATTTACAAGATACCTCACATACATAGTTTCTCGTCGGCCATTTATTAAGACCATTGGTCTCACAGTCTACAATGACGACAGTTTATTGATAAAATATAATATAGTTAATTTAGGTCCTAGTGTTCACATTTGATTGAAATATATTTTTCTTTATTACAGACAAGTCCTGTCACACATAAAGAACATCCCAGAGCTAATTCTTCTAGGAAACGTCTCGCCAACTGTCAGAAGGCTTCCGATATTTTCTATCATGGTGAAGCATCCCCGGGGGACTTTCCTGCACCACAACTTTGTTTGCGCGGTCCTGAACGACGTTTTCGGCATCCAGGCCAGAGGCGGCCTCAACAGTAACTTGAACTACGGCTCCGATGTCCTGGGTATAGATGACCAATTGCTCAAGGAGTATGAGAAGCTGCTTGATGTCGAAGCGTAAGTATCATCTGATAATGAAGGCAGATGTATTCACCGTCCAGCTGAACTAATAAATTTCAGAAATCTAAAGGCACCTAATGTGAATGATAACTTACACGATCCTGTAATCTATACTAATATATAAATCTACAGTGGGCGGTGGTACGGATGTTCCGTTATAACTACTGAACCATGCATCCGATTGACTTGAAACTTGGTATACATGTAGAAAATACATGTACATAATGGATAGGCTAATATTTATACCAGTGTTGGACTCCTTAATAATAATGATGATAAATAATAATGTTAATTTTAAATGCCCAGCAAAGCGGGCGAGTACGGCTAGCAGTTAATAAAATTCAAGTTAATACAATTCCAGTGAACGCTACGCTATGATGGCAATTTTAGCTAAAAGAAAAACAATCACCATAGAATGTTCTAGAAGTTTAAAATACTGTTTTTTTTTCTGTTAACCGTGAATTGAATTACAAGGCCAAACACATTCGTTTAAATAATAAGTGTTAATAAATCACGGAGTTTCGTAAATTTTGTTTGCGTAAGCTACATTCAAAACAAGACAGTGGATAAACAGTTGTCATTTTATTTCAGTTTATTATCTTTAATACTGTAGAGTAGCTTAGTTTTTAAAATATCAATGGGTCAAAACTAAAAGACAAGCCTAGATTATATTATGCTATAGAAACAAGGAATGCTAATGTTCAAACTACGGTTATATTCACGCTGGTCTTTGTAGGCTTGCGAAGAATTGGTTTGAGATTTTTAATTTTCTGACTACAGACAAAAGGAGATTGCTCGTGTCCGCAAACTCAGTAATGTGACGTCTCCAGAAGTCCCTATACACAACGAGCACTTGAGGCCTGGATTCTGCAGGGTTTCGCTACCGTACTTCATGTCGGAAACCGAATTGGCATTTGTTCTTGAAGCACTGAAGATGGTGGCCACTGAAGGTTGGAAGATTCTGCCGCAATACGTGGTGAACCCACAGACCGGACAATGGAAGCACCACACGTGTTCGGTTCTAAGAGACAAGAAATCTTTGTATTCAATGAACTTCAACACCGGTAAAATTTCGGTCAACGAAAGACGGATATCAGGTGAGTTTTGAAAAAAAATATCCGTACAAAATATCACATCCGAAACCGTTAACTAGGAGATTATTAAAAAATCTAATGATAATAATAAAAAGGTTTTGCGTTTTTTTTAAGGTCCTGGAATATTCCCGCAAACGTATACCGAGTGCTTACAAACTGCTCGGAATTTGTTCAACAAAGCTAGAAAACTGGCAATGAAATTTTCGTCAGCCGATCCGGAGATGACATTCAATCCTCGCATAGATTACCTCCGTTGGTTTATGTTGCCCAAAGAAGCTCACGATCTGTTACTCGGGCGCTCGTCGAACGTAAAACACATAGTGCCATTTGATCCTTCCGGGTACACGGGAGCAAGAAAAAGTCTTCACGTTTCGAGATCTTCAATAACTTCCTCACCGATATTAGGATCGTCGGCCAGACATTTCAGTTTGTCTGCCATTGATGACTGCCATGTATTTAGACTGAAACAGAAGACCAAGTTTTATTCAAGAGAAACTAGCCTCCGGGAGGCACAGAAAGAGGAGGACACAGTTTCGCGCCCAGTTCAGTTCACAGTTGGTGAATCCGTTTCGCCGTTGCGCCTAGGTCCTTCAAGACAGCCCCTGCTGGTGCGATCCCGATGCTACAGCTTGGGCTCTGATAGCCCTCCGGTTCCGTTAAGTGCACAAACAAAAATGAATTTAGGATTGAAAGAAGCGAGTCCTAATAACGTTATTGAAAAGACTAGTAACTTCTGTAACTGTGGCAGTCAAACGGACCTATTTTCGTTGGACGATCCGCTGATCTCACCCGGAAAGTCATATCCGTACAGCACGCAAAGTAGCACGTCCATATCGGACTGTAGTCAAGTCGGTCGCAGCTCACCCACCACTTCTCTGACGTCACACACGTCGGAGGATCTCCAAGCGTATGTCAAAGAGATGACCCGAGAAATTGCAACGGAAATCAAGTCCGAAATACGTGAAGTAATCTCAAAGGTTGACGATATTCTCGAAAACTCCGATGCAGTAGAACAGTCTAATGCCAGCATAACTTCAATATCTAGTCAGAACGAAAAGGACTCTGTATCAGTCATAGATGTAACTGAGTATTTAATGGAGATGTCGAAGGAAATGGCTTCAGAAGTCAAACACGAGATAAGAGAGATGGTCAATCAAGTCGACGGAATGATCTCCCCTGATTATTCAGGTAGCTGTGCAAGAAGAGGTTCTCCACCTCAGACTGGTCGTAGAAGAGTAGGTTCAGGTCCAGAATTAGGGCTCGATTTAAAGAAATCTACTCAGTTCCTAAGGAAATGTCCCACCAGTCCAGTTCTGCCGTCGCAGTACGACGAGGAAGACAGGTTCTGCAAGCGATCACCTCAGTCGCCAAAGTCGGCTCAGTGCACTCCTTCGCACGAAGCTTCAGGACCGAATAGCATTTCGTTTAATTCCAGCGAAACATCCACTCCCGACACCATAATCCAAGTGGTCACGACGCAAAACTCGCCAAATCTCCCAAAATCATTAAGCTCGAATAAGTTGTCTGATGATGAGGTTTGCAACGACGCGACCTGCCGTCACTGCTGTATCAAAAAAACTTGGTGCCAAAACCCGTCGGTCAGTTCCCAAGATAGCGGCATCAACATGACCTTCACGGACACCGATACTTATTTAGACTTTGGTAAGCTCTCTTGACTGTTGTTTATAGATGAACTTTCGTATTGAATAACAAATACTTTGTTGGCTTTCGCGAACTTGAAACAATTCAATGTCAAGACGAGACGCGTTGACAGCGACAACGAGTGGTTATAAGTAAACAGGGATTTATTGCTTTCGTTCAATGTGTAAATTGATTTTGTCTGTTGCTCGAATAATTTATTAGAGACCATTCATTGTGAATAATGCATAAGGTTCGCGGTGCATAGATATTCGAATGGAAAATAAATAAATTTTTTATCGTGTTCTTTTTTTAATAGATCCGACCACGAAACAGGCAAGGAAGATCCAGGGAAGACTTCGTATGTGCCCGAAGTATGAGAAGAGTGAAGTGCCAGATATCATTGAGGGAGTTCCGGTGTGTCCAGGGGAACACTCAAGACAGACTGCCAAATATGAGACCACTGCTGACGGCAAAATCGTCTTTCAAATACCTGATGACGCGAATAGGAAGAATAGGTAATTTGACTATATTTATTTTTTTATTGCCTAAATGGGTCGACGAGGCCCACCTGGTGTTAAGTGGTTACTGGAGCCCATAGAGATCTATAACATAAATGAAGTGGTTACCAGAGCCCATACGCATCCATAATGTGAAAGCCGTTACCCACCTTGAGACATGAGTTCTAATGTCTCAGTATAGTTACAACGGCTGCCCCACCCTTTAAACAGAAATGCATTACTGCTTCATGGCTGAAATAGGCGGAGTGGTGGTACCTACCCGTGCGGACTCAAAAGAGGTCCTACCACCAGTAATAGAAGAAGTCCTACCATCAGTAAACTTAGATAATGGGTATTGGCGTTAAAGGTCTTTCCTGCCTATTTCTGCCACGTGGCAGTCAGATCTTCGGACTTGAAAGGTGGGATAACGTTTATAAAAAAAACCATTGAGATAATGCTAGAACTCTGGACGGTTATCTACTATTCAGCGCTGGCAATGTTAATGACTAAAACAATACGAATAACAGTCCGTTCGTTACGTGTACCAAATAAATTCTAGTTCTTTTTATACAATTTTGTTATGCTACATTATATAACTGCATAAAATTCAAAATAGATGAAAAGAGTTACTCAATTTATTAGTGAACAAATCTGAATGTGCTCTTTGATTGAGTTTTTAATGGACCCAAATCATTTGCATTTGAAAAAGTTTGGCGTGAACTCAAATGTAGTTCAGTCTGTCGTTTCATTTCATTCTAGATAAATGAGGCGTTTCTTCAAAGTTTGAACTATCTGTCCAATGATATTTCATGTGGCGACACTGTTTTTGGTTCATATTCTATTTCTTCTTTACCTATTTCAACATTCGATTTGTTTGTATGTATTTATTTCACCTACTTGTACGTTCTGTCTACTGCAAAGTCTCAGAATAGGGCTGTCATGACTATTATTATCATCGATGAGAGGCGATTTAATCATAATTGCCATTTGACAAGACAAGTCTACAATATGCCTAAGACGTCCTGGTCTTTATCTTTCCATCCCACTACACACCACTAAGAATGTACTGATATATTAGGAGCCGGAGCGGGCCGCTAGTTACCTATAAACCTGTTCTTTTTTTTTATTGCTTAGATGGTTGGACGAGCTCACAACCCACACCTGGTGTTAAGTGGTTACTGGAGCCCATAGACATCTACAACGTAAATGCGCCACCCACTTTGAGATAAAAGTTCTAAGTTCTCAGTATAGTTACAATGGCTACCCCACCCTTCAAACCGAAACGCATTACTGCTTCACGGTAGAAATACCTACTGTTGAACGTTCGTGGTTTGTTTCAATAGTGCTAGTGCATCAGTGGGGGACTCGAAGCGTTCGAGCAGGTCCTCGAACGCGTCCTCCAGCTGTTCTGACCGCAGCAGCCGCTCCAGCGGATACGGCACCGACCAGCGGTCTTCGCATGAGGAGAGGTTTTGCGATAGGAGGTTAGATAATCTATGTGTTGTTGTCATTTTGAGACGGGCCGGTTTTTCAATAGAGTTTATCATTTTGGTTTTATGGGTCATAATTATTATTGGCCAATGTCTCTTAGACTTTTATCTATTTGATTAAAATTAGTTCTGGCGGAGAATTATTATCTGGTTTATTATCTTATTATTTATCTTAGTCGTCGTGGCCTAACAGAAAAGACGTCCGGTGCATTCGTGTTGAGCGATGCACCGGTGTTCGAATCTCAGGCGGGTACCAATTTTTCTAATGAAATATGTACTCAACAAATGTTCACGATTGTCTCAAGGTGGGTGGCGCATTTATGTTGTGGATGTCTATGGGCTCTAGTCTCTCACTCAACACCAGGTGGCCTGTGAGCTCGTCTACCCATCTAAGCAATAAAAAAAAACTGTATCAGCCTATCATGAGATATCCGATAGCTATCAGAGAATAGTCGATGGCAAAAACCTGATTCTTTTTCCATAAAACGTCTATTTTAATCAAGCTTCGAACAACAGCAGCTAGACTGTAAGTCTGTTACGCAATTATACCATTTTGGGTCAAGATCTTCTTTTTTAAGTTACACCCAAATATCTTTGGCGAACATACAAGTAGAAACTAGATCACATAGAGAATCAACTTGAGGGTGTTAATCCTCATTTATTTGGAGGAATGGAATTTATTGAGATTAGTTAATAATCCCCTACGCAAGTTGATGGAAGACATTATCATCCCCATTGCCAACCAGAAAGAAAGTCTAACTAGAAATTTATACTTTCTATACTTTTATCGGGAAATAGTAACAATTTTTTTTTTATTGCTTACATGTGTGGATGAGCTCACAGCCCACCTGGTGTTAAGTGGTTACTGGAACCCATAGACATCTACAACGTAAATGCGCCACCCATCTTGAGATAGAAGTTCTAAGGTCTCATGTATAGTTACAACGGCTGCCCCGCCTTTCAAACCGAAACGCATTACTGCTACGCGGCAGAAATAGGCAGAGTGGTGGTACCTACCCGCGCGGACTCAGCAGAGGTCCGACCACCAGTAGATCCACCACTACAATCGGAAACTTTTTTTTTTGATTCCAGTGAGTCAGAATGTAGGGCATTCAAGCACGAGTGTTGGGAAGAAGAGGCAGACGACAGCAGCGCCTGTAGCGACACATCACTCGCGGATTTCACGTTTGACGACGAGGGAAAGTGGCATTGCCCTCCCAAAGCCATCTGGAAGGCCACCGTTGAGGTATGATATTCACCGTATGTTCCATGGGGAATTGTTTGAGATGATCCCCATCATCTCCTTTTTGTCATCGCATCTCCCGCCATCGGAACAGAGTTCATCCACATTATCTGGAACCGCTGCGTTCATCGATAGTGCGTTTCCAGAGGTATTTTTTGCCACGTACCATCCGGCTATGGAATGAGCTCCCCTCCACGGTGTTTCCCGAGCGCTATGATATGTCCTTCTTTAAAAGAGGCTTGTGGAGAATATTAAGCGGTAGGCAGCGGCTTGGCTCTGCCCTTGGCATTGCTAAATTCCATGGGCGACGGTAACCACTCACCATCAGGTGGGCCGTATGCTCGTCTGCCTACAGGGGCAATAAAAATAAATAAAATTTTAGAAAGTAAGGTGTTTTTGCGTCTTCTCCTAACCGATTACCAATAAGATTACCCAGTGTTGTATAAACAAGGTTTGTTGAATTAAATTTGAATTCCCAGAAAACTAAACCGACTAAAAAGGGGGAAGGTACATACTCACAAAAGCTTGCTTGATATTGTTTGTGGTCGTCTGTCCCCGGGGCACTGTTCTGGATACTGGAGTTTAAGACACATGGATGGGCACACGCACAAGATGAATAGCAAAATTTGCGAAAAACAGTATTTTTTAAATTAAATACCTTTTTTGTACTGTTGCGCGCGCGGTGCAGTTCTTTTTATTCGCCCGCTAGGAGGCGCGTTACAATTGTTCATAAAGCCGATAGATGGCGTGGATTAGGAAAAAGGGAATTTTGGTCGGTTCCCTGACACCCAGTTTCCCTTACCAATAAGTTTCATAAAAGCTAGTTCATAATTCGACAGCTTTACTTACCATACCCCTTCGCTGAGCTATGAAATGTTTTCTTACTGTACCTAGTGGGTGGTAAGGCGGGCTCATGAACCAATTGTTGAACCGTTTTCCCATAGACGCCGCAATGCAAATGTCCACTTTACACATGACATCTAATTCTTTGGAGTAAGGTGTACAAATAGTAGTAACCATTGTGCTGTGAGACACTACTGGTGCTAATGCATCAGTCTGTTGAATTTCTCGTCGACGACTCTCAGCGTATCGCAATTCCAATGCTGCAGTAGATGCTGAATAGCTGTCCGGGAACCGTTAGGCCTTCTTCAAGTGTTAGGGCATAGGTTAGAAAACTATCCCCTTTCAGATGCGGGCCAAGAGTTCGCCCATCTGTCCTGGTTAAGCGGCATAGACACATTAGACACCAAGTCCGCGAGAATTCTTTTAATTAAAAATAATCAACAACTTAAACTTCGATGCTAATGGTTTAAGGTTCGCCTGTTATATCCTAAGCAAACTGTTCAACAGGCCATACAAGAGTTCAATATGATCCGACCTGGAGACAAAGTGCTGGTGTGCCTCTCGGGAGGCCGGGATTCTATAGCCCTCCTGCACACGATGCATCATTACCAGCTGTATGCCAGGTCTAAAGGCATGCACTTTAGCATTGGTGAGTGACGTCACCTGGTGTTACTATTATTATTATTTAGGCCTTAATGGTACAATGAGCTCACGGCTCACTTGGAGTCAAGTGGTAATAGGAACTCATATCACTATGTGAATGCATCCACTCTGCTTGAGGAGTAAAGTCGAAGTCTCTATTGTATTATATGACAGTCGTGAGCATACTTCACTTTACACATGACTTCAGATATTTTCAAATAGTAGCTCGAATCTCGTGTGATAATTACAAGGAATGGTATCAGAAGCACTCATTAAATTATTGGATTAATGTTGGACAACTGATTTGCATTGAGTCACCGTGAACCCTAATGAATATACGTACTAAATTTAAGGTATCTTTATATTGCTATTTGTCATCTGGTTTTAAAGAGTCATGATGTAATTATTTTGAAGTACGACTCAATTAATTATGGTTTAACTCTTTTAATTTTTTACCCGGACAGGCAAAAGGAATTTGGGCCAGAACCACACAACAGATTATAGCATTATTTTTTTTCATTTACAATTTCATGTATCTCATCTGGCAAGTTTTAACTTTTACACAGATCTAATTTTTTCCAGGTGCTTTGTATGTGAACGAACCTAAGACTCAAGTGGATCCGCTCCATCTGATGGCCTACTGCCGGACGCTGGGGGTCAAGTTCATTTACCAAGACAAATGGGAGGACGAGGACACCGAACGTAAGTCCTGATGCATTGTCCGCCATTGCGTGCTCGTTTTTGCCTCCCGTCTAATTAACGTCTAGATCAGCCTTTCCCAAAGTGGGCGATAACGCCCTTTTGTGGGCGCTGCAGGTCTAAAGGGGGGCGGTAAGAGACCCAGAAAAAAAATGTGGGCGTTATGTAAGACGTTCGATGCATTCGTATCTAGCGATGCAACGGTGTTCGAATCCCTGGCTGGCGGGTACCAACTGTTCTAATGAAATACGTACTTAACAAATGTTCACGAATGACTTCCACGGTGAAGGAATAACATCGTGTAATAAAAATAAAACCCGCAAAATCATAATTTGCGTACATACTCATCAGTATGTACGCATTTTCGTTGTAGACGTCTATGGGCTCCAGAACCCACTTAACACCAGGTGGGCTGTCAGCTCAACCAACCATATAAGCAATAAAAAAAAATCTGTAGAGACGGGCAGAGAAGGTACCGATATAGGTTCAAGTAGCATAGACTGTAGTTGGTCGAGCGACGGTGTCTGAGCGGTGCGTGTGTCCGCAGGGAGTGGCGCGGCGCCGTGCCACCGCTGGGGCGGCGCGGGCGTGCGGGCGGGCGCGTACGGCGCGTGCGGCGCGCACGGGTACGGCGTGGCGGCCCTGGCGCAGCACCTCGACCGCGCCGCCGCCGCCTTCCTCGCCGCTGCCATGCACTCGGCCAGGCTCGCCACCCTCAAAGCTCACTACAGCATCAGGTATACCCACTCATGCTTTTCTGCTTCTTCTTAGTCCTTCTTAGTCTTTTTGAAGCGCAAATACTTAACGTAACTTGCGACGAAATTTGCTAATAGAAATCGTCACGTAACAAAAAAACGTTATGCCCCTTCATGCAACTCTCTCTCTAGGTCGTTTTTCTATTATATACCAGTGTGTGCATGCGACTAATGAGATTTGAGCGTCAGTTAGTTAACTTAAATGTTATATTTAATATTTGTTACATAAATTATTACTCACTACTTTATATGTGATTGAAAGTATTTTTATGGTTTAAAATATCTTATATCTTGAAACCTGGTAGCTTGAAATGGAGTTTCATCTTCGTTATAGAAAGATTTTATAGATAATAAACGGCAGCTAGCACGAATATTCAAATCTTGACGAATAATAACTTAGTTGTCCGCGACCGCGAAATCTATTTATTAACTAATTCCGAAGGTCGGAAATAATAAAAAAATACCAATTAAACCGCAAAAATCATTTCAATTAAGTTTGCGATTCGCGACAACCGATTAAAATACTTAATTTTATATTGATTTTTTAATGAATTCATTTTTAATTATCAAAAATATTACATGAAGATGTTTTTTTAAGTAAGGATGGATATATTTTTGAATGAGATCCTGCCGGGGACTCTGTATAGCACACGAATTACTTTTTTAAATCTCATACCCGAAATTTAGTTGCAAACTGTTCACTAATTATGTACACTGACATGGATCTCGTTAAATTTAAAAAAACAATCAGTATAAACGGTACATTTTCTTAATTTGTTTTCATTACATGGCTGTCTTAAAACTTACAAAGTAAACGTTCGCTCAAACAAAACAAAAGTTCAACAAAACAAAATGAAAAGTTCGCAAATGCTATTTAGTAGTGTCATGTAAAGTCGGCGGGGTCAACGTCCTTAGACGAACACAAGGGGCTTCCGCCATTGGCGTACCCGCATCACGGTCCAGACAGAGAGACCGAATAGATAGATTATAATTCAATTATTATTAGTAAATGTGGCTTTTCGGTCGAAACGCGAGTCGCTGTGTGTTTTGCTAGGTTTTATCAATTAAGACTTTTTACTCCCAATTAAACGCGTAACAAGGATGGTTTAGCCGTCCTCAACGGTGTTTGTAAAATGCCAAACAAAACCATCGAATGTCATTTCTCGAGCTCTTCTAAAAACTCGTTTGGCTCACTAACTTCTGGAAGTTTCTACGGTGACATTTGTCAGCAGTTTCTGCTTACGGTGACAGTCGGTGCTGCGATCATAGATTAGCTGTGACCTTATATGTGAGATGTGTGATGGTGTAATATGATTGGTTACAGGGAGCACGACCTCCGCGTCATCCGTCCTTTCATTTATGTTCGCGAGCGAGCACTGGACGCGTTCGCGTGCGCTCGCGCCCTGCCAGATTTCCGCACGGTGCAACCTTCCTCGTCACCGGAGTCCACGCCACCCACAGACGACAGTGGCGACAGCGGGTGAGAACCTAACTTTAATTTTTTTTATTTTTTATTGCTTAGATGGGTGGAGGAGCTCACAGCCCTCCTGGTGTTAAGTGGTTACTGGAGCCCATAGACATCTACAACGTAAATGCGCCACCCACCTTGAGATATAAGTTCTAAGGTCTCAAGTATAGTTACAACGGCTGCCCCGCCCTTCAAACCGGAACGCATTACTGCTTAAGTGCAGAAATAGGCAGGGTGGTGGTACCTACCCGCGCTGACTCACAAGAGGTCCTACCACCAGTGTGAAATTAATATAAGTTTTCATATTCAAGGAAAGAGTTAAGCGACGTCGCCTGTGCGGTCCCCGGACCTCGTGCATCGACCCAACGTGAGGCCGGCTCGTGTCAGTCGGACGAGTTGCACGTCGAACCACTCGACGCCGCTCGGGACATGCTCGCGGCGCAGGAGCGAATGTACCCGCACTTGTTCGCGAGCCTCAAGAGTGCACTGCGCCCACTAATGAGCGGCAGGTACGATACAAAATGCAGAATATTCTCATCATTCATAGCGTGACCATTTTTTTTTTCGTGTCAAAGAGGGACGCCTACGTAATTTATAAATAAATATAAATAAATACATATATAGGGTATGTCAGGGTAAGATGTAATATTTAAATGCAAAATAAAAAATATGGATTAAAAAATTACTTAAAATAATTTATTATGGTATTCTTACCCTCACTGACATCTTAATCCTTACACCAACCTTAAAATAATATTTATAAATAATTTTGCAACGTAAGTAACTATTCCACGCGGACGAAGTCGCAGGCAAAAGCTAGTATCAAATAAATGTCATAACAATGTTTTTATTGGCATTATAAGCAAAGGCGTAACAAAGCGTACAGCCAATCGCATAGTGAATGGTCATCGTTCCCGCCCGCCCAAAGCTGTAATAACTCCTTAAGCTACCTGCAAATAGTTAATGAAAAAAAACAAGGCATTGTTTATTGTGTGAAATGACGAGACTTTGGATTTAATTAATCTAAAACTTTGCTTGACCAAAATACTTTTGTGTTTATCTAATTTAAACAGTCTATTGGGTTGATTGTAGGTTCATCGATAAAGACAAGAAAGAGCAAAGACACAGGAAGAAATCGGTTATACAGATGAAAAACGGAGCGCCAGTGTATGACTCTGACGACGGAACCGAAGAGGAGCCCGTGCCATAGATAATGTCAAATCTCCCGCCAAATTTGTAAAAAATAGGTACATACAATTAGTACATATAACCTGTAATCTCTGTTCTAAATACGACGGTGCGTGACTTACTGATTTGTTTTGATGTTCCAACTATTAAAGCTATTTAAACTATTATACAATACATACTATAAACGCTAATATATAAAACTGTATGTATGTACCAGTTATATGATTATTAAATAACTTCTATGTTGAAAAATTTTATTTGTTACATTTAATTGTCAAGGTACATATTAATTGTCAATAATTGGAACTGGCAATTTAAATGTCCAAGTTCTCACACATCCGTGTTTTGACATCTGTCAGACATATCTCGTATTTCGAACAGATCCAATGTACGGTATCTCGTGTTTTATAAAATCGATTATGTGATTTTAAGTGATTGTCATGTGATCAACTAAATGTTATGAACACTTTAATGTTGTCATAGTTTGTAAGTATAACGAAGCGCGCTTGAAATTGACGTTGCGTTTGTTTGGGGTTGCCATGATTATTAATGATTCTCCCTGAATTTCGATATTAGGAAGCGAAGCGGACGGTGGATTGATAAAAAAATGTGCATTTCGTACAAGCTAAATATTTGTAGTGTATTTTTCAATATTGTTGAACGTACGAAATCGGTAGAGCGTGTTAATATTTGAATGTTCGAAAGTTTATTTTAAAATTTTAAGATGGACGTTATAAATGTAATAAATACATTGTAAATCTGATTTTTAAGGTGCCTATACTACTTAAGATGTCCTAAAAGGTACCTTAAATAGAAAAGAGTTATTTTTATGTACTTTATTGTATCACGTTAATAATTATTTACACTTTTACAGAAGAATATTAGAAGTTAAAATTTATAATATTTATATAGATCGTAGATGTAGGAATTGCCTAATTTTTATACATATTCATTTCTCTGTAGAGTGCGTCTTCGGTGAATTAAATCGAATGAAATGTTATTTTCGGCTTTTAATGAAACAATATGTGTCATATTTTTTATACTGAATTCGTGTTATAGTAGAATTCATTGCGAGTTACTGGCAACATCAACGTTCAGCTTCCAAATGGTAGATTTTTTTGGAATATGACTGCTGATGTCAGACTGAGTTTGTGAAATGTTGTAACTGTGCTATATTACTTTGTATGTTTTGTATTGCGCAAATATATTTTCTAAAAGGATTTAATTATAAGATGAAATTCCTAATCAATTAGGATATACGCTGTTAAGGATATATAACGATTTATCAATCGAGTCCCATTCATTGCTTCCATGATACAAACTATATTCATATACATTTGTCGTAAAAATAAAGTGTTTTAAAATTTTCCTTTGTTTTACTGAAATTCTAATTTAAGCGTACCTACCTACATAATATTACTAATCAATTACGTTGTTACGTAAAAACTTACAGTTTATAATACAGATGCTCCCACTATATTTCTGCAAAACATTTATTTCTTCATTAGTTGTCAAAAAACGATAATAAAAATATAAGCTACTAGCTGACCCGGCAAACGTTGTGTTGCCTTAAATAAGATTTCTAGGGAAATTCTACTGTAGAAAAAAAAACCTCATTTAACCACATAATACCTCATTATAAACAAAAAAAATATATCCAAAAAATTAAAATAAAAAATAAATGTTTGGGGTGGACAACCCTTTTCACTTAAGGGTATGAAAAATAGATAGTAGCCGATTCTCTGACCTACTGAACATACTATTGATACACAAATAAAACCAAAAAAACATGGCTGAAAAATGTAACTCTCAAATATAATAAGTGTATAATCTATGATGTATAGTGAGTGAGTAAGACAGGAGACCGGCTTCGTCCTCATCTCTACTACGTGATGTTTGCTGGATGAGTGGTGACACCTGGCGGGGATAGCTGATCGATTGATAGTTGATCAGTAGTCGACCGGCGAGGGCGGGAGATCAAATTCAATTTAAAAAAAATCATAATTAAAGGAACTTGAAATTATAAACTCTGAATAAGAATTTATCGTACTACAATTAATTATAATATTTGATTGCCATCTTGCAACCTTATTGCGGATCTGTGCATAGAATCAAAAATATATTAATCGGGATGGAAAAATAGGGGTTGATCGTAGAGGGGTGAAAATTTAGGGTTGTATGTATTTTTGTATGCTGTATCATAAAAAAATAGAAATAAAAAATTTTGTCTAAAAAATAAAAAATTAAATTTAGGGGTGGACTACCCCTAACATTTAGGGGGATAAAAAATAGATGTTGGCCGATTCTCATAGATATTGGATAAGCACAAAAAAATTCATCAAAATCGGTCAAGCCGTTTCGGAGGAGTATGGCAACGAAAACTGTGACACGAGAATTTTATATAAGCTATATACCCATTTAACATCCATTGTACGATAAAAAAAAAAAACTTTAGTGTCACAATGACATGATTTTGAATATATTTGTCGTGAAGCAGCTATATAGGCAGCTATGTGTCCTATATGATAGACATGACAGTCATTAAACAATACAAATCGACCTCACGTCTCGAGTGGGCTAGCGGCAGATCATTTAGCATTCTTGTGCTATAAAATTCAAATTAAATGTTTATGAGTTCTGGTTATCAACCGCGCTTTTGTTGACAGCAGGCAGCGGCGTTGGCATTATTGATGTCCATCAGCGAATGTGGCTAATCTTTTTTTCTTTAGATGCGTGGACGAGCTCAAAGTCCAGCTGGAGTTAAATGGTTACCGGAAGCCGCGGATATCAACAATGTAACTGTAGTTAATAAACATGAGTTTTAAATCTCAGCTTCAAAATACAACGACCGTAGCCTTTCAACCATAACTGTGTGGCAAAAATAGACAGAGTGGTAGTAGCTATCCGTGTGGGCTCACAAAGTGGCATACCACCAGTAAAGTCTCAATTTCAAGGTCGTTAGCCTATTACTGCAATAAAAAAAAAGTTTTACATTCAGTCAAAAAATATTTATGGTCCCGAACTCAATTTTTTGTTGTTGTTAGATTGGCACAACTGTTTCCCATTTTGGCGCGGAGTTTGAGTTGCATATTCTGTTTAGGTTAAGCATAGTGCTATTTTTAGTTAGTTTTTGTTAGTTACGGTTATATCTGGTGTTTTTAATGCGAATTTAACAATGGACAAAAAATCAAAGAGTTTGTCTTAGAATTTGCATCGCGTATGGAATTTCGTGTTCGGAGTCGCTTAAAATTTTACAGAAAACTTACGGTGAATCGACTTTATCAAAATTACGTGCCTTTTTTCTCCTACCTATGCTGATAGCCTTGAGAGACTATATCAGCATTACCCTAACGTGTAGGTGAGCTCTCGGGGCTCAAACCGAAAATTGGGAGAATACAATTTTTTTTTTCTTTTCTTAGATGGGTGGACGAGCTCACAGCCCACCTGGTGTTAAGTGGTTACTGGAGCCCATAGACATTTATAACGTAAATGTGCCACCCACCTTGAGATAAGTTCTAAGGTCTCAGTATAGTTACAATGGCTACCCCACCCTTCAAACCGAAACGCATTACTGCTTCACGGCAGAAATAGGCAGGGCGGTGGTACCTACCCGCGCGGACTCACAAGAGGTCCTACCACCAGTAATTACGCAAATTATAATTTAGTAGGAAAAAAAAATATATTTTTTGACTAACCAAGAAATAGGTGGGGTGGTGTTTATTATTTTGATCTCTTTTCTTGAGTATTTTGAGAGTTGAGAGTATTTCTATTTAATGAAATTCGGTCTCGCGGAACTGCGACTGTTATAAATGACTTTAAAAAAACACGAACCTGCTGACAAAAATCCTTACATGTAACGCAAACAACAACCATGGAGATTCGTGAACAAAGGACACGCAAATGTTCATATTTCTATAAGACTTAAGAAGATCTTCTTCTTACTCTTATCCCATATTATGTGGGGTTGCAGCATGACCTTTCTTTGTGCTGCATAGAGATTTGGCATGGGGATTACGACCGGCCATTTGCCTGACGTGATCCGTCTTTGGGTTAGATTCACTTAAATACATTGCACCTTTTGATGTATCTGCTACTTCACCCGTTATTGCTTCTATGATTTTATTATTCATTTGATTATTATAAATTTTTTATAAACTGTAGATTTTGAAATTCAAAAAGATAAAATTAACACATTTTATCCGTCTTTCTGTAGGTAACTATTAAAAATATTTATATGAAACTAGCTAACCCGGCAGACTTCGTAATGCCTCAATCGATAAACAAAAGACCTAAACTTTTGTATAAAATAAACTTAAAACAAACAAAAGGAATCCGTCCGACGGGGGACACATCAAAGGAAAAATAAAATTATTATTTTTATTTAATTCCGAGGAGTTTCAAATTTATCTAACTTGTAAACCTTCTCTGGACTTCCACAAATAATTCAAGACCAAAATTAGTGAAATCGGTCCAGCCGTTCTCGAGTTTTAGCGAGACTAACGAACAGCGATTCATTTTTATATAACGACGAAGCATGTTGCGGATAATAACATGTACTTTTAGATTAGGAATATTGTGTTCTTTTTTTTTATTACGTGATTTATCTATCAATAAATAAATAGACAATTTTTATATATATATATAGATTATAAATGTATATTAATTTATTATATTATCTGTATCGAATATAATATGTGATTGGGAATGTTTGGGGCGTTGAAATGAAACACAAATTCTACAAGCTTACTTTATTGGATTAATCATAGACAATTATTACATCGATTATTATGCCTTTTACGCATTATTTTGATAACCTTAAAATTAATGAGTATTATGAGTACTAATTTTCTTGTATGTAGATAATATTAAGCTTAATTGTAAAACATTGAATGTGATAAGATTATAACTTATATCTAGAGCTAAAAGCGGAGAGACACTTATGCAGTAAAATCTACGTTTAAATATTTAAAACTAAACATAAAAGCGCTTAACAATATAGTTCCATATCGTACTGACATTTATATCATTACCATTGCTATCATTATCATTACCTTTGCTATCATTATCATTACCATTGCTATCATTATCATTACTCTGATTATCATTATTTTCGGAATTTAATTGAAACGTTATTTTATAAGGTTATACATTTTATAATGTTTGAATTCTACATTACAATACTAATATTAAATAGATTCTTCATTATCGAAGTGAAAAATTAGAGTTAAAGTTAAATTAATTTTTGCCGCCCTGGCAGCATGGCTTGTCCCCTGGAAAAAAAAATTAAAATTGTGTGAAAAAATGCGTTTATTAAATGACAAAACTGTTTGAAAGTATTCAGAATTGATTGGGCTTAGAATTCGTGGGTTTAATGAAGGTAGATTTAAAAAAAAAACATTAAGATGGCGCCTCTTATTTTACGCGGTTATGTGACTCATAGCGACAATCGGAATATAGCTATTCACTAGGGATATAACTATACACCGAGACAAGATTAGGGCCTTAATGTAATTTGTACAACGACATTGCTTATTTTGTTTTAATCGCTAGCGTATGTAATGTGTGTAGTATATAATGTGTGTAGTATGTAGGGCTGTACTAACCGGAGGGCTTGCCATCTCCGCAGGCGCAGCTGGGGCCGCATGTGCAAGCGGCACCGCACGCCGCCGTGCCTCCGCCGCACGTGGCTACCGACATCAAACACAAATATTATAAAAAGCCATTCAAACAGAAACAATTCGAATATATCCAGCCTCCCTGTGAAAAGCTAAAGATCGAAACATTAATCATAAAAACGAAGCGTGGTGAAAGCTCTTGAGAGAAATCAATAATTTCCAAAATCAGTAGGTAAATGAAATCGTTTATTATAATACACGCGATTTAAATAAAACCATCTAGATATTAATAATAAAACGAAACTAATAATAAATATGAAATTAAGAGCGAATTAAACAATAATTTAGAATTTAATTTACCTTTGCAAGAATCGCAGGGTGTAGGCATGGCGTCCCGAGCTGGGAATGCGCTAGGTCTCAGGGCGATGCGCGCGCAGCCGTCTAGAACCGGCGGGTCAATAGCTGAGCTGGTAAGGAGAGGGGATCGGACGATCGACCCGTCTGTCTCCAAGGGGGCAGGAGCTCGTAATGTTTCGACAAAACAATTTCATAAAACACATAACCTAATTCTTGCGAAAAGATAATGCTTGAGTGAATGAAATCACGGCCCGCTTAGAATTTAGTGACTAAGTACCCGCTTTGATACCCGAGGCCGAAAGTTCAATTTAGACTGATTTAAAATACTAAATCAGTCTAAATTATCAAACCGACGTGCATGACTTGGTTCATGACAGAAACATTTGGTATCTATCAGTACACACTCTCTCTGTAGATCCATAGGTTCTAAACAAAATAAAAGGTTTGAATTTTGGAAATTGTAAGCGGAAAGTGAGATTCATTCTTTACTTTTTGTTCTTAATTAAAACAAATATTTCGGCTATAACCGCGAAAACTTTCATACGACTTAAATAAGAAAATATTATAATAATAAATAATTATAAAATAGCTTTATTTTATTCCAAAATAATTAGATAGAGCTTAATTAATTTAGTATATAACAATTATATTACTGAGTAACCATAGTAAATCTACTACTCATGCAATTTAATCTCCTTCTAATATGGACCCCTTGAGGGCAAAAGCCTCACTCAAGGAATTTTTCCTTATCTTTAGCAGTGGTCATCCAGTCTCGTCCTGGTTTGGATACAATCTCGTATGCGTACTGAATTGGTCGTTCTCCTCTGTTTCCAAAACCATGAATGCCCGCTATTCTGCTCTCATAGTTCTTCGGTTTACCTATCTGTGCGTTGAAATCATGATTTGAAGAAAATATTTGACATGCGTAAATAATAATATCGACGCTTGAAAGGCAAACGTGACTAAGCGACAACAACTGCTTTATACATAAATGATAGGCAATAACCATATTTGATGCGCAAAAAAAATGATATATCTAGGTCTATTAAAATCATTTCAATCCTACAGCTAGATTCGTTAAAATATAATTTTTTTCAGGTATTTCTCATGTATATTTTAAATTAATTTCAACTTTAAATTAGTTTACTGTAAAGTTCACGCATTATCGCTTAGTCACGTTTGCCTTTCAAGCTTCGATATGCTTAATGTAGACTGCCTCTCGGACTACAATATAATAGTAACCCAACTGAGTTCGTACGAACCGACAATAAAATGATCGGAAGGCCGTAAACAAGAACACGAATTGGCTCCGGAACCGGTCGCTCCCCTCTCACGAGTCGCATTTAAATCTATATGTACTCACCATAACAATAATATATTATATTGTAACTACCTACGAATAAAACCTTATTATTTATTCGTAGGTAACTACTTTTATTTGTTATGAACTATTTTCTTTTATCGTTTTTATTGCGCAGATCGGTCAACGAGCTGATGGTCCACCTGGTATTAAGTCGTGACCGAAGCCATACGTACTAGGCCCCAATTCTATATTACAAAGGCTGTCCTACCCTTCAGATTGAAACGCAGTACTGCTTCACGGTCTAGAGAGACCATGTCAGCGTCACCGGCCTAGTAGGTGAACTCACGGGGCTCAAACCTGACGATGTTGCTAACACGAACCCTAGCAAGAGCCGTGCTTCGTAGAGTTACCACCGGATCGGAAACGCGACCCACTGAGAAGATCCGAAGAGAGACTCAGTGGGCTGTGTCTGTGGGGTAATTAACTCGCCGAGCCCTTGGTCGCAAGCGACGGGTTCGACGAGAACGATGACCGGTGCTTGGGGTACCTAAAAGCACCATTAGTGGATCGGGAGGATCCCAGATGACGTGTTTTGGGCGACGTCGACTGTTTACCATTTGGTCCGCTGGATCAGCTATGTAGTTACCGGGGCCACGATGAGAGGGTTCTCGTGTCGTGCCGCTTTATCAAAATGGAGGGTGGTTGTATTACCTACCCGTACGCGTTTACAAAACATTCTACCTTTAGGACTTTAATATACTCCAGTAATGGGTGGTATTAAGACCTCTTTTGAGTTCGCACGGTAACCACCGCCCTGCCTATTTCTGCCGCGAAGCAGTAATGCGTTTCGGTTTAAAGGGTGGGGCCTTTGTACTGTAAAAACTGACCTTAAAAGTCATGTCTCGAGGTGGTGGCGGCATTTACGTCGTAGGTGTCTATGGGCTCTGGTAACCACTTAACACCAGGTGGGCTGTGATGTCATCCACTTATATGAGCAATAAAACGCAAAAACACTGGTGGCAGAGCGCCTCATAGGTAACCTCCAGCTTTATTATTAGTATTTCTGTAGTCATTATTAGACGGGTAGTGAAGTCGTATATTTGGAACAGGGCTACTGGGAAAAGATAATTAAATATTATGAGGATAAAGCCTCAATTACATTGAAATTACGCCTGTCTTGCGGCTTAACCTTCAATTACCTTCCCGACCAAGAAAAGAGGAGCGGTAGGTACCAAAATTTGGTTTAGTCGGTAGTGGGTTCTGCGGGGCAAGTGCTTCGCGCACCTTCTTCAAGGCGTAGTCTCCTTTTTTTTATTGCTAGATGGGTGGACGAGCTCACAGCCCACCTGGTGTTAAGTGGTTACTGGAGCCCATAGACATCTACGACGTAAGTGCGCCACCCACCTTGAGATATAAGTTCTAAGGTCTCAAGTATAGTTACAACGGCTGCCCCACCCTTCAAACCGAAACGCATTACTGCTTCACGGCAGAAATAGGCAGGGCGGTGGTACCTACCCGCGCGGACTCACAAGAGGTCCTACTACCAGTTCACAAGAGGTCCTACCACCTATCTCCTATAAGAAATTGATGGAGGTGAAGAACCTCAGCCCTTTTCTTCTCCCCTTCTTCCTCTCAAGAGGCGCCGGAGTCCGACATAACCCGGTCCGTTACCCCCCTCGACCGGATATCCGTAAATGGATTCCCAAGCGTTAAAAGAAAAGAATGGTACCAAAATTTCGTAATTCAACTAAAAACTGGTTCAGAATGTTATTAAAATTATTACGGACACAACATTACGTTCAAGCAACGGTATGACGGTGTTATTAACATGTCATTAACCAGCCTCACTTAATTAATTATTGTTACAGTTAACTTTTATTGTTCCTTCAAAGTTTTACACGTTCATATTTTCATTTTTGTACTTGAGGTTTGTGTTTGTGTTTCCGTTTGAGGGTTATCAAAAATTATTTGATACTTCAATCTTATGCGTCAAGGCTCGGAGATGGGTATTTATTGTGTCCCTGGCCTAATTTAACTACGTAAATGAAGCATGTGTTGTTGCAATGCATCTTGAAATTTTCTTCTAACAACTTATAATGCATTTATTATTGAAATGTGGTTCTCAAATTTAGAGGCAACGATTCCTAGCCACGACACAGAAGCCACCTTAATATATCAATTAATGATATTTTGTTTTAAATTTATTTCTAACTAGCTGACTCGGCAGACTTCGTAGTGCCTCAATCGATAAATAAAAGAACTAAACTTTTGTATAAAATAAATTTAAAACACACAAAAGGAATCCGTCCTACGGGGGACACATATCAAAGGGAAAACAAAATTGTTATTTTTATTTAATTCCGAGCATTTTCATGCTTATCTAACTTTTAAACCTTCTCTGGGCTTCCACAAATAATTCAAGACCAAAATTAGCCAAATCGGTCCAGCCGTTCTCGAGTTTTAGCGAGGCTAACGAAGAAGAAGGCAGGTAGATAGATTATAAATTACAGCTTATTCATATTAATTATCACTAATAGTAGCACGTTAAACCAACGTCTTTTTTTTTTGCTTAGATGGGTGGACGAGCTCACAGCCCACTTGGTGTTAAGTGGTTACTGAAGCCCATAGACATCTACGACGTGAATGCGCCACCCACTTTGAGATATAAGTTCTAAGGTCTCAAGTACAGTTACAACGGCTGCCCCACCCTTCAAACCGAAACGCATTACTGCTTCAAGGCAGAAATAGGCAGGGTGGTGGTACCTACCCGAGCGGACTCACAAGAGGTCCTACCACCAGTAAAAACCGTATTACACATATTATACAGTATTTCCGGTTACTTATTAGGCAAGTTAGATAACGTTAATACATATAACAATAATTGGAAACAAAATAATTAGAAAATCAACCGAAGATCAAACAAACAACATAACAATTGCCATCGAGGTACTCTCCACGCAAGACTCATAGTAATAAAAAAAACGAATAAAAAATAACAATTGCATGATTTATCTTAATCACGAAGATCATTGTCGTGAAGTCGATGACCTGCTGATTCTGACGTGATATCGGATATTGTGGAAGTTCACAGTGTAATACAGAAAATTGTTACCTAAATAACATTGGTCATTATAGAATATTTTTCTAAATAGAGCATTGATATTATGAGGCTGAATGGTAGCAACCTTCTGCGTATTCCTAAAACGTTGCTCGTTAGCAGAAGAATAGTAAAAAATCCTCCAAGCAATCTTTTGTCGGTCCAAAGTTTCTTTAAGGTTCATAAGGCTGGACTGTAGATTTTTTTCATTTTTTTTTTGCTTTTATGTGTGAACGAGCTCACAGCTTATCTGGTGTTAAGTGGTTACTGGAGTCCATAGACATCTACAACGTAAATGCGCCACCCACCTTGAGGTATAAGTTCTAAGGTCTCAGTACAGTTACAACGGCTGCCCTACCCTTCAAACCGAAACGCATTACTGCTTCACGGCAGAAATAGGCGGGGTGGTGGTACATGCCCGCGCGGACTCACAAGAGGTCCTACCAGCAGATTGCCCGTAACTTGAGGCATTTATGATGAGATTGACTGTAAATACTTCGGACCGTGTGCTAAACTCTAAAGAGCCAGCATTTGTGCTAGAAGAAGGGCGTCTTATTACCCCGTACGGGTAGGTACCGCCAGTATGCCTGTTTCTTCTGTTTTCTTTCTGTGAAGCAGTAATTCCGAATTGAAGATTGGGGCAGCCGTGTAACTGAGACTTGGAACTCATGTCTCAAGGTTGGTGGTGGCACTTAC